ACAACAGGGTAATCCTGTGAATAAAAAACAGCTCCTACAGCCAATAAAGCATCATTGTATCATTTTCATGCCACTAATTTGTCCCCTGCTGTAACAAATTGAAATTCCTTCTGTATTTCACCCCCGAGATAACATCAACCTAAATATCAGATCAGTTTTCCTTTTATTTGTGTCAGTCATGGTTTTAGAAAAAAATGGACATTTTTGTAAATTTTGAGCTTTTATGATTTCTCCTTCACCTGATTTTTTGATCTAAGCAAAATTTAATAAATGGCATTCCAACACAAGTAGAAATATCCAAACACAGCAGCTCACTTGTTCACATGGGTGTTCCTTTTCCTCTCCTTTTCAACCCACAACCTAAGATTCCGCACATCTTAAATCCATTTTAAGATTGCCAAAGATGATCAAATGAGATCTTCAACACTGCATGAATACTTGATTTCTCTCCAAGCAATTCATCTGGAACAAGTGGAGTCAACTCAGTGCGATGGGTCTGCCATAAAGTTAGACAGTCCAAATCTTCAACTTGGTCCATAAAAGCTGGCTAATATTTATGTTCTTTTTCAGCTTTTCAGGAAAGAAAGTGATCCTTCATCCCTGTTGGAAATGCTGAAAGTTCTCTTGGGCAACAGCTATCAACTCGGTGCACTGTGCATGTAGTAAAAGCATACAGAGCAAAGACTGTGAAAGCAGACCAAAGAGTTCACAGTAAATGAGGTGGCAGCCTAGTGGTAAGTGTCTCTATGAGCATTCCTATAGGTTCAGGGCCAACTGCTTATCATAATGCTGGTGTCTGGCCTTGTATTTTCTATCATGGCTCAATGCAAGACTTACTGTTATTCTCCCAGTGGCAGAGAAACAAGTAACTGTATGTTTAACATGAAAAACAAAAACTTTCCAGTGTGAAGATTCTAATCAGGTGTCAGTTGTCTGAAGTCAATGCTTTAGGTGTCTACTGTCAATTTTTCAGGTGTTTGTTATAATGTCAATTTTTCTTGACTTATAATTGTTATCGATTGTCACTTTTCTCTCTCTGTTTTTACATGTTTGCGGTCACTTTTATTTTTATCTTTTGCTAAATTTCCATGTATCAACCTTCATTTTTTAATTGTCTTTCTGCTGATCAGTTTTCCATGTATTAGTTATCAATATGAAAGGTTGGAGTTGCTAGGTATTTAAGAAGCACAATCTGTTTTCATCGGTCATTTCAGAAATAAGATCAATCTGGTCACTTTTCATGTGTAAGGTGTCTCTTGGAAGGTATTTTCTGTCAGGTGTCACCTGTCAACTGTCAGCACTGACCATAACCTTAATCCACTATGATATACAGACGGCCATTTGCATCATCCACCATATCACCTGTTCTTGGTCAAATTCAGGGAAAATGGCTGCGCATAATGGACAGGTGAGATGTACAAGCATTCATGCCTGAAATAAGGAATCGTGTTAATGCCTCTTAACATGTTTGACCTCCTTAATGTGTGCTTGTTAATACATCAGAGTTCTGTTATGTTACCAGTGTTAATTCCATTCCAGGCACCATGGAAATAAGGATCAGGCCACATGGAGATCAAAAGAAGAAGTGCATCCTGACGGTGTTCATTTTTCTTTTCTCGAAAAGAAACTGAAACCTTTTCCCTTCAACTGTGTCTGGGTACTTCTAATCATTGCTTAGACAGGCGGTAACACATTTGTTATTAATCAAAGAAAACTATGTTGTTTACGTAACTTTTATGCTTGACATGTAAATAGAAAAGAAAAAACGTTTCAACAAGCTACATGTACATAACTGTTACAACTGTATCCCATCTATGTTATTCCACCATGACCATACGTATTTTTGCATTTCTCTTTCAAGAAAAAAGTAACTAACAATATATTACAAGACATATCATACCACAAATTTCAGCTTCGGACTCTATCAGCAATACAAAATCATTAAAGCAACACAGACAGTGCACACCTATGCATAATATCTTCAACCAAATTCCTTCTCAAATCTACGCCAAGTCCTGTACATTTCCTACTGCCCGACCTGAAATGTCCATTACTTTAATGCCCAATTTTATCTTAATACCGGCTAACCTATGCAACTACATACTGATTGACTCCTCCCTCACTCAGAGATAAAGATAACCACCTTAAAGCCAGCCAATTTCACTTTATCTGCTAATTCTGCTCGAGCCTTGTCACAGCAACCAATCAGTATACAGTATCCCCAGTAAGATTTAAGACATGCACTTGTTGTATATCACAGTAAAGCATGAACTCTGTGGTTGAAAATGTCTTATATTTTTTAGATACAGATACTGCAAATTTCTAAATACCTGTGATATTAAATTCTTCAAGTATTGGTTAGAGCTATTAAAGATGATAGATGTAAGTCAGATGTAGAAGTTATAACTGCCTCTTTTCACCAAAACTTTCAGTATGATCAGCACAAACTCATACCTCATCCAACGGTGATCATTTAGATGGTCAGTTTGACCATTGGGAGTGGTCAACTGTCCCGAGGTTGTCCTTACTTGTGATTGGTTAACCAGAAGTGTGCAAGCTGATAAACTCAGTTTGCATAGTGCAATTCTGATAATTAAGCCTCTCTCTCAATTAGAGCTGGCCTATTTTGAAATTATACACCCATGACTTTAAACTGCTGAGTACTGATTAGGATGAAAATGGCCTGTGTGAAATACTGAATTATCAAATATATAGATATTCACCTTTTCAGTATGTACATAAAAACTTTCATGAACCCTCAAATTGTAGTTTTCTTTTTAAAGACCCAAAATTCTCATTTTGTACACAGTCAAGGCCTGAAATGCAAAATGATCTTTGATACATATATTTTTTTAAAAAATCTTTTTTATCTGGCAACTTATATTTAAACCAAGTATGAAGAAAAATGGAAAAAATAAATCCTAAATTCTCAATCAGAAGTCACCACTTTTATGTACATCTTCATAACCTCCAACATCCTGCCAGAAATGTAAGAAAAATAAAGAAAACTTTGATCAGAAAATTGAAATTCAATCATTCACCTTCGCTAAAACTATCTTGTTTGATGTTTTAAGTCAACCGTTACAGGATCACCCATATCCTCAGGTGATTTGCACCAGTTGTTTTCATGTCTTATTATGCAGAGTATAAACTGGTCTTTTGTGCAGGTGTATATTTTTAAGACAGGAGTAGTGTATTTATTCCTTGAAGCCAATGTCGATTTTATGAAAACAAAAGCACAAGAGAAAGCGTGCCTGTGAGTGCATGCACATGTGTGCATGTGCGTATGTAGATATACTGAATGTGTCTGCATTAGGTGTGTGTGTGTGTGTGTGTGTGTGTGTGTGTGCACACACGCGTGGAGAGAGAGAGAGAGAGAGAGAGGGAGAGAGAGAATGGGGGTAGGGGAGCAATGACACATTACAATGCAGCCAGTAAGTCACTCATGATCTACTCGTCAAAAGCAATACCACTACTTCACCAAAGTAATAAAACAATAGCAATACTGCAGGACAACAAAAGATCCACTTGAGAAGAGGAAGCATGCAATCTTCAAACAACAATCAGAAGTAGGTATATCACTTGAACTCAAGCACATCAGACACTCTCAGAATAAACTGAAATGCCACGTTGATTTCAAAGAAGTATTTTGTGCCAGGGATCACGTCTGTTATATCAATTTTACTGTAATTCTAACTCCATGATATTTAAAAACTACATAACTTCAGAGAAAATTATTTTTATTGCTTGATGTAATGCTGACATTTGCAGTGCCATGATAAACCAATGATAACCCTTTCCATCTTTCTTATATTTTTCTTATTCTGAGTTTTTATTTTTTGTAGGCAATCCTTTCAATTCTTCATGGCTACTGCACTTCCCATTAAAATATTTATTTCCTTTTCTTCATCATCAAATTGCCACAGTACAAAGTTTATAAACATCACAGACAAATAGTGAAATAGTCTGAAAATGAAAAACCACCCAATGCCACTGAAAAAATAAAAGTCTGTTTTTTTCATGTATCATGAAGAAAAAAGAAAGAAAGAATGTATTCGTTTCATCTTGATGAAAAGTCAGAATCACATAATATATCAGATTTGTATGTGAATTGTATAAAAATAACATATGCATGTATATTTACATGCATGCACCCCCCCCCCCCCCACACACACACACACACACACACACACACACACAGGCACCCACAGCATCATATTCTGAAATAAGAAATTCTTAAGTTTGGGCATGTTAATAACAGTCCAAGGTACATGTAAATATTACAAGGCATTTGCAAAACAATACAAAAACATAGAGCAACAACAACAACAAATAAATGGTTAATAAATCATGTCAACTTCCAAATTTAGCAGGCAACAATACAAAATACTTTCAGAAAACATATATCTCATTTATCATGTCACAAAGTTTTTCATATGGGGGTAAACAACATGTTTGCCAAGGTCCAACTCTGTTTCTTAATTGATGGGTACTTGCAGTTGTTGACTATACGGTAATTACTGTAAATTTTCAAACAATGATAATAAATATGTATTTACAGACATGAACCCAACTCATTTTCAGAAAATTCTGAACATTTTTAACACTTACAAAACAATGTTTTAGAGAAAATCATTAAATTTAATTTTGTTTGAATTTATAAGTAATTACTGTACAGAAACTCAAGGGGAGGTATTGTCCTTTCCCTGCCGCTGCTGCCATCTAGTGGATTGATTGTTTATGACACTGTACCGAGGGTCATTCTGTCACAACTTGGAAATTTTGTCGAGGATTTATATCATAATGGGAATGATGTACATACTTCGGAAAAAATGGTCAGTAAAATAAATCCACTAATCTGCAGATGATTTCATCACTGAATACTGAGAGGACCTTGTGTGACAGATGGGAAAATGTGTTAGGTGTTCTGACAAAATGCGTTTGATTTCCCAGCACAATAAGGCTTTAAACATTTAAACATGTCTTAAAAGTGCACTTACCTGCTTGTTCTCTCTCTGTTTTATACTGTTGGAAACTCTGCAAAGAGGGAAAAAGAAAATCAATCAACAATTCAGCAGAATTAGCAGCAAATCAAAGCATCAGTTAGAGAAAATGGTTCTACAAACAACAATATAGAAGAGAAAATGTTTTTACAAACAGCCATATGAAAGAAAAATGTTTTCCAAAAAACCTGCATAGTGATACACTTGCATGTGTCATTTATTATTTCATATAAGAAAATTACAATATTAAATTGTATATCAACATTCTATTAAACATATACAGCACACTACCACCTGTAATTTTTTCTAAAGTGAATTTTCCTTTTCATAAGGATGTAACTAAATTCATGAAAACGTTTTTCACTTTACAAATGCTTGGGTTTTTTCCTTCAATTTTTGTTTAATCAATGTTATATTTTTGTGTGTGAACTTCATTTAAACATCCTTTTTTTTTTAATCACATTCCCCAGGTCCAACTCTGTTTCTTCACAGAACCTTTCTTCTTTCAATAAACAATAATTTGCAATAACCATAAAATACAAGCACTTTTGGCAATAACCCCTAAATTAAGTACTACAAGTTGAGGTAGAACCAGGTGTCTATGAAGCTAAATCTTAGGTGATAAGAGCAACAGTCTTCTTTATGGACACTTTCACCATATGGGTTCCATCAAATATCTATCCTCCTGTTGTTTTTTCCAGGTAAAAAAAGCAATTTTGGGAGTATCCACAGGTAATAACAACAAACATATACTGTAGTTATGACCATCTTTTAATTGATGGGTTATAAAAGGGGTCATCCTGCCTATAAATCTTTGAAAAGAACATTCTGGATAACTTTTATTTTTACTTCCTCTTCTTCTTTATATTCAGCTGGAGAGACATTTAGAAACCAAAATCCCACCTGTCTGACTTTTTAATCGCAGGCTGGGTAAAATGCTTCAACTGGAGTTTTCATTTTCTTTTGCTCGTAAAAAAAAAAAAAAAAGAAAAAAAAAACCTTGCAGTTGCTGGCTTTATTTGGGGAGATTTTACGTCCAACAAAAAATACACTTATTTCACATGAGAACACCTTTCATCACATTTTCCTTTCATGTCTTTTATCATTTCATACCTACCAGTACAAATCATCCTCCTTATCGATAATAAAAAAAGATGAGATCTCAGCAGACATGAAGTAAACTTTGGTTCAATGACCATATATTCAGTACTAAAAAGTAAAACGATCTTATCTCATGTCTTTACAGCTAGGAGCAGACACTTTGGTTATTAGAAGACCACAAAATAGAGAGTATCAATGAGTTTAATCTCAAACACTATTATCAGCATTCTCCTGTAGACTGCCATGAAGCATATGTATGAGTTTTAGGTTAAATATACGAGGAACCTGTGAATAATCATAAACAGCAAGTACAGATTATATGGCCTACATGACTATTGGGTCACTAAAGCTATAAGACAGGTGAGGAAGGCATCTGATGTCTTTTCTTCCCAAACAAATGAGCCATTATATCCTGTGCACTTAAATTACACTTTCATACAACAATATGCTAAAGATTATATATAAACATATCATAAAACAATGGAGGGCAAATAATGTTTTGCAAAAAGAATGCTGTTAACAATTGGTCTGAAATGTACAATGTTTAAATCAAATAACTATAGATGGTGAATACAAATAATTTTTTGTGCATTTTGACTGCATAAAAACATTTTCTCCCACCCTTAGAAAAAGCACCAAACAAAATTATAAAAAAAAAAAAACTACTAAATCCTTCCTACCAAATATACACACTTCTATCACATTCCTCCAACAATCAGATAAAAAAAGATTTATTTCTGTGTTTACTAACAGACGGACATGTAATGCCTGGTTATCTGTCACTTTTAGCTGATACCAGCCACCTCTCTGTGATATCCAGGGTTTTACACATGCCTTAAGAGAAATTTCCATAACTACTACTGCTGCAGGAATGTGCTTATTCAAGGGATTCCTTGTAATTCAAGTGGATTATTATCTTGGCTCGTTTCCACATTTCCCATTAAAAAAATCTATTCTAAAGAAATTCTCTACCAAATTTTGCAAATAATTTGGTTGATTTTTTAGATTATGCTAGCTAATGAAATGGGCAGGGCAGGCAGACGACTACTGCAAACGTACACCAGGTGTCGCCACTATACAACACTTACATAAACCTGGCTCTCCATGAAAGGAGGGTCCCGGCAGGTACAGGTTAACAATGATGAAATCATCTTCTCTCTGTTTAAGTTAAAACAGCAACAATACTGACAGACAGGCCCAACTTTGGAATTAAAACCCTTTTAATTAGCCATTTCAAGTTCATTTGGTAGTATTTCAGTTTGTCGCATACAGCAAACAAGGCAAATTACACAGTTCTGTGAGGCCATATGCACGACAACTTTTCCGGCATTACAAATCTTTCAAATGATTTACTGGAAAAAGCATCAAAGTCAATTAATCTCACTGATGTGCATAAGTAGTCCTGAGGAAACATTTCGTAGGCTTTTCCACTGTCTTGTAGAGAGCCAATGCTGCAAAAATTGTTCCAATGACAATGAGGGAACACTTCAAAATGTTTCATCCATCCTGAATACGTGAGAAGAGCAGCAGAACAGTTTATATCCAATGCTGCAAAAGACAATGACTCTCCAGTAGAGCTAACTGAATCTTCTTCTGATTATAATCCAAAACTGTTCTTTTGACTAAGGGTTTTCACATACTGTGTAAGAACTAAGCCAAGGTCAAAATAATAAGTCTACTTATAAACTGTACATGAACATCCACAATATTTTTGCAGTCACACTGTGCAGAGATTCCTTCAGTTAAGAAAATCCTATCCATAATTGTCCTTTCCAAAAATAATGATATCAATCATAATGATTTTTTTTCATCAATCCTCAGCAATCATGTAATCATGTTAATATCAGACATATATTAAAACTTCTCCCTCAATCTGGGCTAGAGGCACATCAATACAGACAGTCACATACTAAATGCCAACACGAGGGCTGATCCCTTTAGCCTTATGCGTCTCTGTCTTTTCCGACTGTCACCAGCTTGCCAAGCTCCTGATGACAGATCTGTCTATAGGACAGTTGATTTGGGTGGGGTGGTGCTTGGCTTGGGGAAGGTGTCATCTCCAGGTCATTATATTGTCAACTAATAGAATAATTAGCACGTAATGATGACATGTGGATGTCAAATTAAAGCACTGTTAGAATGTAAGTGGCATGCATAGGACAGACTCCTGAATCATGCTGTTGTGTCTAAGGTGAAGTTCAACCCTCACATCATCTTATAGTGCCACTGTGACAAATCAATGAGATTTAAAATATTGGCATCTAAATAACTTTTGGAGTGTTTATTTAATGGGTTGTAAAACTAGAGGATCAGAGAGGCGATACCGCCTCCGAATATTGTACCACCAGCTGGAGCAAGCGCATTCGTATAGACCCCCACATACACAAAATAAGGGACACATCACCAGTTTTGTGCTTGACAAGCTGTTAAAATGCAATCAGCAAGAATTTTTAAACTTTTGCAAAAAATATATATGGTACAATCAAATTTAAGTTCTTCGTAA